AAAGAGAGCCTACAGTTATGTACATTTTTTCCTTTCCGTAAGAGAAAAATGAGGACTTTGGAAATTCGGATCCCTCTTTGATATCAGAGATTTAAACAACACATTTTTAGTTTTAACCAGTTGTAGTCAAAATGCTACAATAAAACAAAAAGAGAGAAAGAAAATGAAGAGCATTTGACTCCCACACTTAAAATGAAGTACACACAAAGTTTAAACTGGTTATGACAAAAGCCTATAGTTGTGTTTCTTGAACTATAAAGAAAACAAATTTTGGCAGTCTTTAAGTATATATAGCTTAAAATATCATTTTTAGCATTTGGCACCATATGTATGCCATTATCTTTGATTTTGCATTACTGTTCACAAGAAAGCTTTGTCTAAGGCTTTGATTTTATGATTATGAAAGAAATAAGGCACACCACGGTTTTTCTTTCTTACTTAAATCTCATCACTGTTGATGTGGTTCTTTTGTGTTAAAAAAAAGTGCAACTATCAAAACAAAAAATTATAGAGTAATATTGCCGTTCTGATTTTAAATATGCAGTACATCATACTTTACAAGCAAGTTAAATGGAGATAAAGTTGAAATCATAGAAGATGCAAATGACCTTTCAAAATCAACACAATGTGTTCTGAAACTTTTCGTGACTTAATACCATGCATCTGTGATCAATGAACTATGTGGTTTTGATCGGACGTAGACCATTAGTGCTACTACTTGAGCTAACCTTCTGCATGGTTCATAATTTTTAAAGTGTGTAGTTAATATTATGCATGTTATTGTCCTTCCATTCTTACCAGTATGTGCCCATTTGCAAAACAAAATGCTAATAATCAGTAATAGTCCTATAAAAGATGTTAACTCTGTTTAGTCATTGACTGATCTTGCTCTAACCTTAAAATTTTGTGATTATTGACCTCTGTTGCATTTATTCTAAAAACCCCCCCAAAATTATCTAGCTGTTTCAAATATCAACATTACCCTGGTGTATTCACTGCTGTATGCATTATTGTTCTTTGTTGCTGTTTTATGCCTTCATATTAGCAAAATATGAAATTCTGTGAAAAACAAAAAAAAAATCCCTTTGATCTTTAAAAAAAAAACAAAAAAAACAACCCCCCCTTCTGTAGCAGGAAACAAATTGCTTGTTCTTGAGAACTTTCCCATCAAGAATTTAGTAGAAGCAGGTATACTTATATCATTTTGATGTTTTTGTTACTGTTTCCAAACAATGTACTTTGAAATCAGAATCACTTCTTATTCGTTTTCATATAATTCTCCTGATGCTCTTCATCACACATTAGTGATCAGAAATGAGATGTAATTCCCCAATCCCTGCCCGCGAGACCTGAGTAGGATCTTACTGTAAGTTGAAGGGAGTTCTGCCCTAACTCATGGATTGTGCAAGAATGAACTGCTGTTGGGTCTGACTGATTGTAGGTGGGTTGTGGCGTGCTGTACCGAAGGCTATTGAATGCAACTTACAATGCTTAATAAAAATCTTTATTCTTTTAGTATAAACACGGCGTGGCTTCCAGATTCGGCCGGGACCGCGGCGGGGGCGCGCAGGGTGGGGGCCCAGACCCGCTGACAACACACACACCGGTCCGGTCCTCGGACTGCAGACTGGGGGCGCCCGGGGGCTCGGGGTGGGGTGGGGGCCCGAGCCCCGCCGACGACACACACACCGGGACCGGTCCTCGGACCGCAGACTGGGGGCGCCCGGGGCGGGTGGGGGTCCGAGCCCCGCTGGAAACACACACCCCGGGCCGGTCCTCGGACCGCAGGCTCGGAGACCAAGCAGAGCGCGCTGAGCGCTGCTGCTAATGCCCACATCAGCCATCATCGGGGCTCCCCCGCCGGCCCTGCCCACCCGCCACTGTGGCGTTTCCATGGTCGCTCAGGCGGCAGCGCTGCGGACAAGCGTGCCGCGGAGCTCTGGAGGAAACCGGCCACAGCACCCGGGATTTGCAGACGGCGGGCGCGCTTCTGGCCCGTGCACGGGGGCGGGGCCTGAGCCGCTTCCGGCCTGTGAGCGGGCCGGGCCGCGAGCACTTCCGGCTTGTGCTCTGGATGGCGCTGGGGGGGGGCGTGAGCACTTCCGGCCTGTGCTGGAGGCGGGACCGCGGGCGCTTCCGGCCTGTGCTCGGGGCGGGACCGCGAACACTTCCGGCCTGTGCTCGGGACGGCGCGGGGCCGCGAGCTCTTCCGGCCTGTGCTCGGGGCGGGACCGCGAACACTTCCGGCCTGTGCTCGGGACGGCGCGGGGCCGCGAGCTCTTCCGGCCTGTGCTCGGGGCGGGGCGGGGCCGTGAGCTCTTCCGGCCTGTGCGCGGGACGGCGTGGGGCGGGGGCCGTGAGCGCTTCCGGTCTGTGCTCGGGGTGGGGAGGCCTCCTCCCCGGCCGCACGGGGGCTGCGCGCGCACGGTCCCCGTTCCGCGGCCGGCCGGGCTGAGCGTCACCGCGGGCGCCAGCGCCGGTGTGGGTGAGCGCGGCCTGCGAGGTCGCAGAGGCCCGGGCCCGGCCGCTGCTCCGGGGCAAGCCAAACACTCGTGCTGACCGTTTCTTGTTTTCCTTTGTAAAAAAGAGCTTTTGTTGATCTTGGTTTGTTTGAAAAGTAACACGTTTATTATAGTAACTTCAAAGAGTGCCGCTAGACAGAAAGGAACAGAAATCACTCGTGATGCGCGCCTCTTGGCGCACCTGCATCTGTCCTTCTCCGCAGCCCACAGACGTCTGCAGGAACTTTACAGCGGACTCCAGCCCCCACGCACGCTTGGTGAGGGGTCTGCGCGCCCAGTATAGATGTGTGTATATGAGGCTGTATAGATAAGAACACCACTGCGCCCAGCACCACACCACTGCGCCCACCACCGCGCCCGGCACCGTGCCCTGCACTGCACCTAGCACTACTGCGCCCAGCACCACCGAGCCTAGCACCACGTCCCGCATTACACCTAACACCACTGCGTCCAGCACCACCCAGCCTAACACTGCGCCCCGCACTGCACCTAGCACCACTGCGCCCAGCACCACCGATCCTAGCGCCTAGCACCACCGAGCCCAGCACTGTGCCCAGCACCACTGCCTAGCATTGCACCCAGCACCATACCCAGCACCACTGTGCCCAGCATTGCACCCAGTACCACCGCAGTGTCTTCCCACCACTGCATTCTGCTGTGACCCAGGCCCCACACAGTGGGTGTAAAAGTGTTCCAGACTCAGCGGCAGGGGCCACCCCTTCACGGCACTTATGTTTCAGGGTGCAGTATAGATGTGTGTACATGAGGCTGTATCAGATAAGAACACAAGGAACATAACCCAGGGTCACAGGCGTGTGGCAGGGAAGGCCGCTGGGGCTGGGGACAGTGGTGGTCTGCAGAGCAAGGTCGGGCTCAGGTCCAGGGCAGGCATCAATGGATAGAGAGAACCCACTGATGAGGGGAGAAGCCACCGCACAGGGTTCTTGGGTGCTGCTGGCACTTGGGAGATGAGGAGCAGTCTCCAGGTGGGCGCACACACCCCGCCGGGGAATTAGCTTCTCACTGGAAGGAAGGCCAAGGGGAGGGACGAGGAAGGAAGGGTGTCTTGGTCCTCAGCGCTGACCTGCCCTGCTCTTGGCCAGTGGGACAGGAAAGTGGGTTTCTGGTTTTCACCTGCATTGCTTCAGTTGTCTGTGAGGGTGACATTTCCTTTGTACCTTAATGTACCCTCAGTTTGTCCATGTTCCAGTCAACAGATTGTTAATATCCTGGCTTTTTTGAATCTAAAAACCCAGGCCAGGGCAAACATTTTAAGAACGAATTCACCATTTGCGCCCTCACCTGTGTTAGCGCCTGCAAGTACAAAGGGAATTGCAGACACCCCTCCTTGCCATCTGTCTCCTCCTGGCTCCTGACAGGGGCCCTCTCAGCACCCTCTGTGGGCGGGCACGAGGACCCCAGCTCTCTCCCAATGTGGTCCCCTCAGGAGTGGCTCTCTTCTCCTGCGACCTTATTCTGCCGTGAATTCTTTGGACAATGCCTGATTTACTGCCCTTTCCCCTTTGCTCCTTACTCCCCACTTGGTGGAGTGAGCCTTGCAGAGGTTGCTTTGCCCTCTCGCCACAAGGGCCCCTGGCTGCTGCTGGCTGGGCCTCCGCTCCTCTCCTCATCAGCTTCCCTAGCACAGCCAGGGGCCCCACGGACCTGCCCATGGGCCAAAGCAGGCTCTGCACCAGGCACTTCAGCCTGTGCTGTGTGCTGGACTGTGCAGGTGATGTCTTGGGGACTCCAGGAGGGACAACCTGGGGGCTGGGTGGAAATTACCCAGGCAGAGTGCTAGCTGCTTCAGGGCGGTGCCTGGGATGGCCGTGGCCCACTGTGCCCAGCAGACACCAGCAGCTCATGAAGCAAGCCTGGCGGCACCGCAGCACACCTACCCAGGCTCATCACACCACGTCCACTCCTGGCATTTGTGCAGATCCAGTTCTTCAGACCTGACCGACCCAAGTGTGGGTTATGTAAGTGTCACCTGGGGCTGGTTTTCCCAGAGTAGCCCGTTTGCCCAGTTCTGGTGTTTTACGAACAGTGCCCTTTTGGATGGTAAATTAGTCACTGGGCTGAGGGGCTTTTGTCTACAAACGCACTGCTTCCAAACATCACAGGGCCATCCTAGAGATGCTAGACAAGAAGGGCACTCTCATACGTATCAGGAAAACCCAGAAGGTTTCCAAAGTTCCCCATGGGTCACTGTTCATTTCAGTGGGTTCTGGATCAGATCAGTTTGGTCCAGGTCTCCCAAGGGCCTGCTCTTAGAACTCTCTTGGCATTCACCAGATGGTTTCCTGTGTTACAAAAGCACACCTCCGACCCTGAACTAGTACCCCCTTTCTGACTTCTCCCATCCCCCAGACTGTTATTAATTGTCTGTCATCTGCTCTGGCACATGAGCTCCTCAGCAGAGGGACGTGTCTGCCTGGTTCACAGCCATAAGACCTGCACTTGTTGCTCACTGACACAATGGACAGCCTGGATGGAAAGGGCAAACTCTTCGACACACACAACCCACCAAAGCTGAATTATGAAGAAACAGGACATCTCACGGACCTGCAGCTCTTACAGAGACTGAATCGGTAATCAAAAGCCTCCCGGCAAAGAAAAGCTTTGCTGGTGAATTCTACCACGGATTTAGAGAAAAATCAATACCAATCCTTAAATTCTTCCCAAATGTTGAGGAGGAGGGAACATTTCCTAACACTCCCTCTGAAGCCAGCATTGCCCTGATAACCGAAGCCAGACAAAGACTCGACGAGAAGAGAGAACTACAAAAAAAACAACCCTCACGAACCTTGATGCAAAATTCTCAGCAAAATACCAGGAAACTGCATACACCTGTGAGTTAGAAAGATGGTACACCACGACCACGTGGAATTAGTTCCTGGAATGCAAGGATGGTTCAGTCTCAAGAGCAATCCAGGTGAGACACTACACTAATCGAAGCGGGGAAGGCCCACAGGATCATCTCAACCAACGCAGAGAAAGCACTTCACAAAATTCAACACACTATCATGATAAAAATACTCAACAAACAAGGAATAGAAAGAAATTTTTCACCATAGTAAGGCCACATATCAAAAAGCCCAAAGTGAACATCATACTCAATGGTGAAAAAGTTAAAAAAAAAAAAAAAGCATTGGGGCGCCTGGGTGGCTCAGTTGGTTAAGCGACTGCCTTCGGCTCAGATCATGATCCTGGAGTCCCTGGATCGAGTCCCGCATCAGGCTCCTTGCTCAGCAGGAAGTCTGCTTCTCCCTCTGACCCTCCCCCCTCTCGTGTTCTCTCTCTCATTCTCTCTCTCTCTCAAATAAATAAAATCTTTAAAAAAAAAAAAAAAGCATTTCCCCTAAGATCAGAAACGAGAAAGATGCCACTTTTACCACTTCTACTCAACACGGTATTGGAAGTTCTAGCCAGAGCAATTGGGCACGAATAAAAAACAAACAAACAGCATCTAAATTAGACAGAAGTAATTTCTGTTCACCAATGACATGCTTTTACGTACAATCATCAAGAATTAGGAACTCTAAAGATTCCACAAAATGCTATTAGAAGTAATAAATTCAGCAAAGTTGCAGAATACTAAATCAACACACAAAAATCAGTTTTGTTTCCATACACTAAGAATAAACAATCCCAAAAGGAAATTAGGAACACAATTCCATTTACAACAACATAAAAAAAAAATACTTAGGAATACACTTCAGCAATGGGACAAAAGACTTGTGAGCTGAAAGCTATGAAACATCACTGAAAGCATAAGGCACAAATAAATGGAAACACATCCCATGTTCATGGATCAGAATATTAACATTGTTAAGATGGCAATACTACCCAAAATGACCTACACATTCAGTGCAATCCCTGTCAAAATTATCATAGCCCTTTTTGCAGAAATGGAGAAGCCAATCATCAAATTCATATAGAGTTGTAAGGGGCCTAGAAGAACTGAAATGATCCTGAAAACAGCACAGAGTTGGAGGGCTCACACTTCCGGATTCTAAAACTTACTACAAAGCTACAGAAATCAACACAGTGTGGCATAAGCCTGGACATGCAGACCAATGAAAGACAATAAAAAGCCTGGAAATAAACCCTTGCCCACACGGTCACATGATTCTGACAAGGGTGCAATGACCATTTAATGGGGAGAGAACTATGCTTTCAACACATGGCGTTGGGAAAGCTGCATCTCCACGTGCAAAAGCAGGACGCTGACCCTGCTTTTGGGGGTCAAATTGGATATGGTCAAATTGGAACCTTCGTGCACTGTTGGTGGGCATGCAAACTGGTGCAGCCACTCTGGAGCACAGTATGGAGGTTCCTCAAAAAGTTAGAAATAGAACTACACTATGATTCACTGATCCCACTTCTGAGTATACACACAAAGGTAGCAGCAGGGACACAAACAGATATTTGCACACCCACATTCTTAGCAGCATTACTCACAACAGCCAAAAGGTGGGAACAACTCAAGAGTCCTTCGACAATGAACGGACAAATCAAATGTGGGTTCTATGTAGGATGGAATAGTATTCAGTCTTAAGAAGGAAAGGAATCCTGACACCTGCTACAACATGGGTGAACCTGGAGGACACCGTGCCAGGTGATGTAAGCCAGTCACAGAGGGTCCAGCTCTGCAGGAGTCCACCGACCCATGGTCCCTAGAACAGTCAAGCTCACGAAGACAGGAAGTAGAATGGTGAGCATCAGGGGCTGGGGGAGGGGCTGGGGGGGCCAGAATTGCAGAGGGGCACGGTGATGCTTGCACAACAGTGTGAACATACTTAATGCCACAGAGCTGTGCACTTAGAGATGATCAAAATGGTAAATGTTACCTTGTGTGTGTTACTACCATTAAAAGAAAAGCCTGCACTAGCCTTCAGTATACTTTGTGGAGAGGGAGGGGATCAACATGACCTGAAACATGCTGTTTCCACTGGGCAACAAGGTGAATAAAACGGGCCCCACTTTCGAGGCTGGCTGCAGGGCGCGTGCTGCTGGGAGCCCCCTTCTTAGCCCTGCTGCAGGCCCGGCCATGTGGGTGGGTGGTGAGGTCCTGATGCTTACGTGGACTGCGCCCCCAGGAATGGCGTGGACTCGGTGGGAGTTGAGGCAAAGGGCAGACCACATGGAAGGGCCAGAGCATGAGTGGGCAGCCAGAGGGGACACCTGCATCTCAAGGCCACTGCCCCCTGCTTCCTGGGTCCTTGCATCTGGCCCCATGCACTTTCCCTCTCTGCGTGGCCTCTGAGCCCAGGTCACTTCAGGAGGCCCTAGGTCCCCACCCACCCACCCCCACCAGGGCACTGTGGGGCATGTGTCACTCTCCCCCTTACAGCAAGAGGAGCTACAACAGGGCACACAGCAGGTGCTCAAAGCGCATCTAAGTAACTGAAGGAGAGGGAGGAGGGCTTTCTGGAGGTTGAGGACAGGGAGAGTTTGGGACCCACGTGGACGCTTACTTTAGTGCGTAGTCGGCCTGCGGCTTTGGAAGAGCTTCAAGCATCTCTGCAGACACTTCCAGATGCAGTGGACACGTGCAGACAGGGAGGGCAGTGTGGCCGGAGTGGTCTCAGGCCCCGGGGACATGGGGGCTCCCGGCCTGCTTCTCCCTCTTGCCAGCAGGCCGACTCCTCCGGGAAGGACTGAGCTGCTTCCAGCCTCAGTGTCCTGTGGAATGACGCCCATCTGGGTACCTGCCTGTGGAGCAGGGGCGGCTCAGGGCTGATGCTGCGTGCTTCCCAGGCAGTGGGGGGGGGGGTTTGCTGCTGGAGCCTGCAAGGAACTAAGCAAGCCTCTGGTGAGCCTTTGCTAAATGCTAGTGACGCTGTCCTTGTTTGTAAACAATGGAGGTATGGGAGGAGGGGTGCAGCCCGGGGGCCTCCAGAAACTTCTGCCCTTGCTGGACCACCAAGGGGGGAGGTGGACACTGCTGGTGTGAGCACCAAGGCACTGCTGCGGGGGATGGTCCCTCAGCAGTGCCCGGGCCGGTGCCCTGGGCTGCCCTGCAGACTCAGCACTGTTCATCCGCACTAACTCAACCACGGTGCTCCTGGTGGACAGTGCTTCCCAGAGTCCACACCAGGTCCGGGGAGAAGGACTCCAGAGGGGAGGGTGACAGCTGCAATTCAGGGAGGAAGGCGCTGAGCACGGGGCAGGGGGGTGGATGGGAGCTTCTCCCTCCCCCTCACTCCTCCCCACCATCGCCCAGAGTCTTCTCCACTCTTACTACTCATGCTGGTGCCTCCCAGCTAAGGCCCTGCCATGGGCACTGCCGGGCTGCGGTCCAGGAGTCATCTGCTGGGGGAGGGGGGCTGGCCACACCAGGACGGGTTTTGGCTCAAGAGGAGGGAGCACTTCAGTGGAGCTGCCTGCAAGTGGGACAGGTGGCCCTGAGAGGCTGCAGGCTCAGGTGAGCGCCTGCCTGTCGGGGCTGCCGCAGCTGGGTGGCCAGGACCAGGCTTTCCATCCAGGCTGGAGTCGTGCTTCAGGTGGCCAGCATCCCCCAGGAGCAGGGGGCAGAACTCTACTGTACTTCCTACTGCACATCAGAAGCCACTCTGCTCTGGCACCCCCAGAGAAGCATGGATGTAGCTGGGAGGAAGAAGCCCTCAGTGCCCCCCACCCCAGACCCTGACCCCCCTGCTGAGGCTGCAGGGCCCAGAGCAAGGCAGCAGCACCTCCTGTCCACCCCTCTAGCCCCTGCTGCCCTAGAGCCACAGTTCTGACAGGGACGGGAGGCCTGGGGGCTCTGACCAGGGATGGGGGTGGGGCTCCAATTCCACAGGAGAGTCAAGGATCCTGTGTGTGAGTGGGGGGAGGGGGGGGCGGGGGCTGGCTGTACCCAGCCGGAAAAGGAGCAGGGAGGAAAAGCAACAGAAAACCCCGGTTGCCCCCTGTCCGTCTGCTGGGTAAGAAGAGAGTTGGAGCCAAGTAGTTGTTCCTTGGCCATCTGAACGGGAAGGACATCCTGAGGGTCTCACCCCACACCCAGGGGTCTCAGGGCCTGCCTACCCCTGTACCCTCAGCCCACCTTCTTTCCGGGTGGCCCCCCCACTTTCCCTGCACCCCCCCAATTACCCAGCCCACTTTGTCCTGGCTTGGTTCCTCATCCATCCTCCCCCACAGGGGGTCTCCCTGGCCCACTTACTCCCGGCAGGGGTCCAGCCCACCTTCTCCCCCAAGGGATCCCCCTGCCCACCTTCTCTCTGGCAGGTCCCCCAGACCACCTTCTCCTCCAGAGGGGTGTCCCGGCCCATCTTCTCCTCCGAGGGGGGTCCCCCGCTCTCCTCCCCAGCCCACATGCCCCGAGAGGGGTCCCCCGGCCCTCCTCCCCCACAGGTGTCCCCCGGCCCTCCTTCTCCTCCCAGAGGGGTCCCCCGGCCCTCCTTCTCCCCCAGAGGGGTCCCCCGGTCCTCCTTCTCCCAGGAAGGCCCCCCAGCCCACCTTCTCCCCCAGAGGGGTCCTCCGGCCCACCTTCTCCCCGGCAGGTCCCCCGGCCCGCCTTCTCCCCGCGGTCCCCGGCCCGCCTTCCCTCGGCGGGAGCGGCGGCCCAGGCCGGCGGGCGGAGGCGGCGCCACCCGGGGCGCTGACGTAGAGGCCGCTCGGCGGCCGGGGGTCCCTTCGGTGGGGCCGCGGCTCCCCGCCCGCCGCCCCCGCGCGTCCATTCCCTTTTGTGTCCCGCGCGCGGCCCGGCCCCGCGCACACTCGCGCCCTGCGCCCCGGGGCCGGCGGGCGGCTCCCGGCGCGGCCCTGCTCC